TAATTCTGTAAGGTTTCACCTAAATTGCAAACTTTTTAATTAGACTCTAAAAAAAATTAATTTTAGTATAACAAAGTGCAAGATTGAAGTTGCTAAAAATTGCGTTGAATTTTGGCAATTATTTTCCTTGACAGTGTAAAGCGGTTCCTTCCATATCAAAATATTTTTCGAATATACATTTTTTTTGCAACCTTGCGGAGTGCTACCAGTTTTTTTTCTTTTTATCACATCACGATGTAGCGAACCAATTTGGCACGTTACAGAAAGCGCTACTTGAGATTTGCCGATATTGATAATTCTCAAGTAAATGTAAACAACGCCTCAGAAACTTTAGATGCACTGAAATTTGCTAATACTTTCACAAAAATCGCCGTTTTTTTTTTAATTTTCGCTATTAATTCTTTTTAGAAATCATATATTTTAAAATTTAACATAAGGAAACCACGTTCCTGTTGAAAAATGTATTATTCGGCTTTGTTTACTTTTACTTGAGAAATTTCAGCGCCGCTGGGAATCATTCTTGTTACCATATAGTGTTTAATGTTGGACAAAGACGCGAATATGTGGTATATTTTAGACCTTGTGTGGTAGATGCTCAAAAAAGTGGCACATCTACCACAATGTGGTAGAAGTCCGATCACTGCTCCCAACTACTAATTGACGGCTCGATGATCGTTGTACTGTTTATTTAAGGTGTTCTTACACGATATGTATTTGCATCTGTAAATGTGACTTTTTCAATACATATGTAATTGCGTATGTCTGTCAAATTCACAGCCTTTATTTAACTGCTTTAAAATACGATCTTTGGAAACGAAATAAACAAAACTCAGATGATTCTACCTGTATGTCAGATGAAAATAGAGACATTTCTATTACGTATTATGTGCATCTGCTTTGTACAGAAACAAATCTAATTTGCCTTTACACGATATGTTGGCATTTCTATATGTAATAAAGTTATAGTTTAAAAAACTAAAACCTCTATTATAATTTCCATTCGTACTGTCATCAGGTATGTAACTTGAGAATAGAAATCCCTGCATCTTTTAGGCGCATCAATATTACATAGTTACATCCCGAGCTAATAAAAGGGAGGTAATAAAATAATAAAAAGTAGCATGTACACATGCTAATACATATCGTGTAAGAACATCTTTAGCTTTAATTATTTTTTTTTTAACTTCCCTTAATTTCCATTTTCCTCATCATTAGAGAATTTTGTCTCTTTTGCTCATCTAGCTTTCATTACTCAGTATTTTTAATAGTTGATAAACTCATTAAAACAACAGGGAACGCTCATTGAGCAATAATTTTTTTTATGCTCCTACGCGCAGCTTGCTTGGTTTTTTCTTCTAGATTCGCCAATGTTGCCAGATTCACAGTTTTAACTGTAAATTAAAGTTTTCTTTATACAAGCTTACAGTTGCTTAAATTAGCTCCTAGTACAAATTACAGTTTTTATCGAAATTTCCGATTTGAACGAATAACATAAAATTTATCTTTTGGTTCCTTTGTAAGTCAACTTTTAAGATAAAAGTGGACGACGAAGAAGACGCGTTTTCTTATATGAAACAAATGTTTTCAGCTGTCCTATGCATTCCACTCGCCACAGAAAATGTGAAAAGAGTATTTTCCCAAATCAATTTGAATACAACAATAAATAAACTAAAAATTGCACCACTAATTTAAATGGTTTGTGGTGTTTGATTTTAAAAGAATCGCTTTTTAACCGACTTCACAAAAAGGAGAAGGTTATCAATTTGTTTTATATACAGTGACGAGCAAAACTGTAACATGGTGTAACACTTTTTAATTCACCCACCGCTATGTTTCCAAGTTCTGACGACTTTCATCCTTTGGTGTACATTCTTGTTGGTACATCCGTACTCCCTCTCTCATAACGATTTGAAGTCAATACAACAACAATAAAAACCCAGCAGACAAAAATGTAAATTAAGCCAAATGTTACAGTTTTGCACTCACTCTCAGTTTTGCATTTTACAGTTATTTTTTACTTAGTTGGAAGTCAGATGACTTTTTTCTGTATTGTAATTTATTGAAGAAGTAATCACCAGTAAATAATATAGTTAATCAGGAACCATAAATGTAAATAATAGATTTACTGTGGAAAGGCGGGACCGCAGGAAAGTGGCGAAAAATTGTGGAGTTTGCTACTTGAAAATATTTAGATTGATAAAAAGTATAGCCTAAAGTGGCCCCAAGGACAAAGGAAGTCTGTCAAAAAATATTACGGTACGATATCTTGTGAACTTAGCAGCAACCCAGCAAACATTGAGGTTAGTTATCGATTATATAATGATTGGAGAACTAGCCACATTCTCCAATCTCTAACGTTTGAGATCGACTCAAAAAACTATCGAGAATCATAGCGATCTCAACAAAAATGGGACATAGTTCTTGACTCGTGAAAATATTAATTCTCTAATCGAATTCTAATGTGGATCTCTAATGGGATTCGAATTTGAATTTCAAACTGCTATTTTGCTTTATTAAATAAAACGCTGTGTTTGTAAAATTTTTATTAAATGTATTTGCAATAAAATAATAATGAATTTGAACTTAAAAAAAAAAATTATCATTCATTTAGAATATTGCTTATTTACATTTATTTGAATTTTCGTTTTTTCTCTAATCGTTCTCGAATCGAATTCTAATATAGTTCTCTAACTTCCGTCATCGATTCGAGAACGATTAGAGAAATACCCTAGTTATCTAATGTAGAAATCCAAATTTCTCTAACGTTAGAGACCGTGTTTGCTGGGAAGTAGCGATGCAGCCACTATTACAGAAGCGCTTAAGGTATTAAACTTTAATGCAAATCAGTAGACAGCGAGGCGACGAATTGCCAAATTGGCGCAAAGGCATCAAGAAGAAAAAAGATAATTTGACCAAAATATATGTGCGGGAGTGGTAGCATTTTGCTGTGTCGCGCGAAAATCGGACCGTTGCCTATTGGGATATGTTAGGCCTTTCAGAATGCAATAAAAAACATATTTTTAAGTTTCAATTGAAGGTTATTTGGTCTGACAAGACTCAATTAATTGCTTTCAATCAGATGGCCGGGCATGGTATTGGATCAAAGACCCAAATTAAGCCCATGCGCATCATGTAAGGCAAACTGTGAATCACAGTGGTCGGTCAGTAATTGTTTGGGGTTGTATTTTGTTGGTCCGTTAGTACGCATTATGCGTAAGGAACAGTATCTGTTCATATTTCAACAAAATTTGCAAGATGTAGTCGAAAAAATTAGAGTTTCTGCTGAAAAATCACTCAAAACACACTGAACATGTTCGGAAGGCATAGATACAAAAGCAAAAATTTGCTAATTTAAACTGACCTCCAAAATCCGCGTACATGAATCTCATCGAGAATTTGCGAAATCAACTAAAGGCACAGCTTAATAAGTATCAAAGTCCGTAAAATCGAGTACATGAGCTGTGAAAGCAAACTAAGGATATATGGAGGACATAGCTCCAGAAGTTTTACAGAGATAAAAATAAGGTATGCCAAATCGCACCCAGAAACTAAAACAAGCAAAAGGGTACTGAACATTTTGTAAGTAGTTCTTTTTTCTCGTTAAAATTGTTAAAAAGTTCTTAAAAATATATGAGTGCAAAACTGTAACATCTGCCTTAATTTACATTTTTGTCTGCTGGTTTTATTATTGTTGTTGGATTGACTTCAAATCATTATAGGAGAGGAAGTACAGGTGCACCAATAATAACGTACAACAAAAGTATGAAAGTCGTTAGAACTTGGAAAGATAGCGATGACTGAAGTAAAAAGTGTTACACCATGTTACAGTTTTGCCCGTCACTGTATGTTACTGCATAGCTTTGGACCACGTTAACCGATTTCTCACAGGGGGTCCCATACTAATTTGGTTTAGATCTAATCATTGGATCGTGAAAAAATTAACGGAACTCCTAAATTTTTATATGAGAATTGAAGTAGGTTGTGTTTTTTGCTTAAAAATTAATTATTTTATATATGTTTAATAAAATTAAAAAACTTGATTTTTTTTTAAGTTCTTCGTTTTTTACAGTTTTTTTACTATAAAGAAAATAGATCCGGCAACACTGTCTACAGCTCCTTCATGAACTAAAAGTTTGGAATAAAAAGCTTTGCGTTTTTTTCAAGTTGTATATTTTAAAAATATTGGTGATAAATATTTTTCGCATCACTCGGAGCGATGAGAATAAAAGCGATGCCATCAATTCGAATAAACTCTTTTACAAATACTTCTCATGCAAATTCATGAGTGAGCCAAAAATTAGAAGAGTTTATTGTGAAGAGAATGTAAATAATGCTAGCGCTCTTGGAAGGCTCTTAAAAAAATATAAATTCTCAGACCGAGCTTACTCTGCGTGCCTCTATACAAAATACATAGAAAGCTTAAAAGAGCTTTGCCTGCGGGCAAGGCGATGTCCATCTCCGGTTTACGAACCATTAAAATTTTGAAATTGGTCAACTGGAAAAAAGGTTGGGATCGTCTGATTTAAGTGCTATCTTCATTGGATAATAAGTTTGCTATGCATGATTTGTATTTATATCTTGGATCTTTTATTTAAAGTTTTATTTCATCTGTGATGTGTATAATATTTCAAGCTATTTACGCGCTAATATAATAATTTTACCAACATTTTTCCATACAAAAAAGTCTCTGGGTTTAACAAAAAGTAAAATAGAATGAAAACTAAAGCACCTTTGCAAACAGGTTTCTTAATAATATACAAAGTTACATATGTATGTAAGTTAACTACTTGTAAGTAATTTATATGTAATTACAAGTTGAATATGCGTAAAAATTCTATATTTTTTAAACATGTACATACATACATATGTATGTACACATGTCTTTGTAGCTTTCTATAAATTCAAGACTCTAAATAATATCAATTTTATTATAGAAAACACATTAAACGTACGATTTCAAATAAACTGAAATCGGTGCGTGAAATGCCCTTGGAACTGTCTTGAAGACTCTCTACTACTTACAAATACATAAACATAGATACATTTTACATACATATATTAATTACAGAGTACGTCTTATAGCTACTGACTGGCTCCCTCAGCCCTGCTTAGCGTATCAGATGCAGCTTCCAGCGCAGCACAAAGTACGCAATAATGCGCAGCGCAATAAATGTACCCAGCAAGGCTACCGCATCAATCCAGTACTCGGCCTGATCCATAGACATCTCTTCCAAGAACTTCTTTGGACTACGGAAGTGACAATACATTTCATGACACTCCAATTTGGCACGATCCATGCCGTATATTGATACCATGGCGCCTATTTCGGATGCGTGTGTGGAAGAATAAGTGGAAATAATTTAGAAAAAATGCTATCTTAGGCATATAAAGTACGTTTGATTACCCTCAAATCCATAGCGCACATAACTGACGTAGGTTACCCACTGCAGATAGCCTGGTATAGTGTCGAAGTTAACAAAGAAGCCTGAGAATAGTATGGTTGGTATTGTAGTTACGGGCCCGAGGAAAACACCCGCTTCGATATTCATGCCAGCACCAATGAGCAAGCCCAGCGATTGCGCCACCAGCGATGTGAGCACACAAATGAAGACAAACATTGAGATGCGTAACCATTCCATAGGTTGCGAGGTCAAATAGTAGACAACAATCACATAGACACTGGAGAAGAAGATCTGCGGGAAGGTGAAAAGATCGAATGTCAAATATTTGATTTTTTTTATTAATTTTTGTATGCTTGTGTTTGAGGTGACCAGATGTTTTCTAACAACTTCTTATTTGAATTTGAATTAACACGACAAATCTCTCAGCACATAATTTGGTTATATTATTTAGTTAATGTTTCCAAATCCTGTGTTGAGAAAACTATTTTTAGCTGACTTTTTTCTGTGTGTAGCTAGAACGAGATAGGTACATAAGCCTGAAAAATTGTAAATCTTCTCGATTTTCTCCATTTTCTTGGTAGTACTAAGTAAGGATCTTTGTTTGATCTTAGCGACCATGGACACCATTAAGAGAAAATTGAAGTGAATTGCGAAATCAAGAGTTTTTGAATTCAAACTCTGTCCCTTTAAAGACTTTAAAGATTCGTTCGATATTTTTTTTTTTTTTTAGTTTTTTTTTGGGTTTTTCGATCTCTCGGATAGTTATCGATGCTTATTTTTTATTTGATAAAAAATGTTTTCGAGAAAATTCGAAAAAATAATCATGTTTGATTATACGATACCAAATTTTTATGAAAAACTCTTTGCTTTGAATAATTGAAAAATCTAATTTTTCATTTAATTTTTTCGATCTCTAGGTTTATTATTTGCAATTTCTAAAACTATTTAACGATAATATTTTGTATTCGATTAAATTTCAGTATTTAGAATTCAGATTCACAAAAAAAGTTTTTGTTTCAAATTGAAATAAAAACTTCCAGTTGTGTTTTGTTACCTATTTGGGATTGCTTATTTAAAATTTTGTCGATAACTTTTATCGATAACACTTTTCATTCGATTAACAATATTCTCGATGAAATTGGTTTTCCGTATCCTGTATTTAACATTCAATATTCAGAAGTGTAGAGTTTTAATTTTTTCAAACATTTGGAATTTCTTCGATAACTCTTTAGCGATAATAAATTTTTATTCGACAAAAAATATTCTCGATTAAATTCAATAACCGGATTTGCGATTCAATATATTTAATTAATTTAATATATACGTATACATATAATATTCAAATTTTTTATTGGAATAAGCACAAGACAATTAAACAACATTTCGACAGTGAAATGTTTATTTAGACAATTATTTATTCAAACCATTAAGTTTTTTGATTTTACGAATTTTTATAGCAAATAAAATGGTTATAAGAACAAACATTTTGTGGAAAAAATATTTATGTCCAAAGAGAGTTTGTTTAAATTTCTTGAAAAGTTAAAAGCTTCGAAATTTTGCAAATTTTCGATCTGACTGCCACATTTAATCCAAGTTTTATCGATATTTTTATTTTTATATATACATATATCTTTTCCGAAAAAAATCGTAGTAATCGATTGCTTCTTTCAGGTATCGATTTTTAATCATAAATAATTGAAAATTTTTGTTGAAACCAGAATATGGGATTTATCCTTAATATTAAAGCCCCTTATCATTTTGTAATAGCACTTAACGTTCTCATCACTATAGGCTTCATCGATACCGTTTCTACATCGGAATTTATATAATACTAATATTATTTTCGATATTTTTAGTTATCCTTGTTCAGCCTTTAAATTTTTCTTCATATTCGTGTTTTCACGAATATTTTATTTTATTTCCACACCTGGTCACTTTAAAAAATAGAAATTAACATGCACCGCATTTCATACCTGAAAGGGTAGATCAGCCATTGTCTTAGCAAAGTAGAACGCCTTCAGCGAGTACCAGTAATTTAGATGCTCCCGCACAAACACCGACATCTCAGTGGGAACTGAAAAAAAAACAAAACCAAAACAGTTCAATTAAAACTACGCCCTTGCCCTTAGACCTTAGTCTAACCGAATTTCATTCACTTACAAGTCAATATCGTCGGCATCATCGCTGTAAACATTGTGAATAGTGTTGTGAAGAAAATACATCCGGCATTGCTCATCACCTTCGACGCTTCATTGCCCACATCATAGTAAATCATGCCAATGATGGCGCCCACAATAACGTGCGAGGCTAAACGCATATGCGTCAACATGCGATCGCGCATAATCGTCACAAAGGAACGCTTTAACAGTATCCAGAATTGTGTCCAGCCGCTGGTGGGGAAGCCAGAGCTGTTGGGCAGCGTAACGACACTCTCGTGTGAATCCAGCAACGAAGTGGTGCAACCGGCGGCTGCAGCTTTCTCGGCGGCTGCAGTGAGGGCATTTTGTCCACCCTTCGAGTTCAGACTGCAGCTATCTTCATGAACATTGTAGGTCAGTCCAGTACTGGAACTTCCATTGCCATTATTACTGCTTGGAATGTTTAAATTGATAACGGTACAGTCTGATTGCTGTGACTGTTGTGACTGTAACATGGCTGTAGTCGATTCATTCGAATCCGATTTGGCCACCAAGCCAATGGCCGATGCATCCATTTTGAATTTCTCATCTGCATGTGTGAGTGTTGTGGTCGCTGTGAGCGACGTTGTAATTGCACTATTGACATTCTTGCAGCCATTATCAGCACCATCGCTTTTGGCAATATCATTCGCAATGCAGCGTACACCCTTCATATCCAATCCATAGTCCTTTTGGCTGTATTTCTTGCACTTGCCTTCCTTGACCGCCGCCACCAGCTTTTGCACAGCTTCGCCATACTCGCCGCAGGCTACCTCCAGCACATAGTCGGCCGGGTTGTGATATGAAGGGCAGTCGTAGCCGAGCGACGAGAGAAATGGCACCAGACCTCGCACGCGTCCTTGGTACATGCACTGGCCCTCGGCGAGCATGTACAAGTGATCAAATTTTTCAAAGAGACGCGCCGACGGCTGGTGAATAGTGCAAACGATAGTGCGGCCGCCACGTGCCAAAGACTTGAGCAAAGAAATCAGCTGGAAGCAGGTTGAACTATCCAAACCGGATGTGGGTTCGTCAAAGAACATCACTGGCGGATTGTTGACCAACTCGAGTGCAATGGAGAGACGTTTACGTTGCCCACCCGAAAGATTGTAGGTCTTCGTGTTGCAGGATTCAATGAGACCAATTGTTTCGAGTATCTCATCGACTACGACTCTCTTGGCAGCCAAATTCATATCTTTACCCAGTTTCAGATTGGCTGAGATCATCATGGCTTCGCGTACCGTGAGATTCGCAATCAATATGTCGTCTTGCATGATGTAGCAAGAAAGTTTGCGGAAGCGACGCAGATTGCGTTCTTTGCCATTAATCAGAACCGAACCACTCAACTGGGATGTTCTGAAAAGAAAGATAAGAAGTATGACTAAGAAGTACAGACTCAAAATTTAAATAAAATTACTTATGTATTTAAAAAAGTATAATACATAACTGTGTATGTAAAGTAACTAGAATTGCCCGCAGTAGCAAACCATATAGAGCTCGACTCCAGATCTATTGCTTAATGTCGGGTGTGAACTCATTTTCCGAATAATGCATCATTCTCTTAAAAGTCTGTCACTATCTCCTCGAATGTAGCAATGCAATGCGCACAAGAAGACTCAGAACGAGTTCGATGTGAAAAGTGAGGAATGTGTTCCCGATACTAGTTATAACCCTGGTGACTGGGCGACAGATGAACATAGATGGCTGGAAAGCAATCAGTTCTGTCAGAACAAATTGCAGGTAAGCCTCCAGTAAATGCAATACCATGTATGAGGTGGCGCAGAAAAAAATTCATTTTGGGTACTCCGTTGTTGTTGCTGGTGCAGCAACTACTTAACCATGTCTAAATCGGCAGTCAAGCTCAACTAACAGGAGACCAAGGAAGTGTGCATCTCCGACTGGGTTATTCCATAGGGTGAGTTGCGTGCAATTTATTGGTTGGTTACCCTGTCTCAATGGTTCCCTTATCCCTGAATTCAATGGCTTGTAATTACAGTAAAAGCTCATATTTGGTAATTTTAGTAGAAGTCAATTCAAAAAATAACTCTTTTTTATTTGCTATTTTGTGAATTTTTCGCAGGTATTGCATTTGGCGTTCTGAGCCATGATATGAAATGATAAGGGGTCTTATTTTTTACAAGCTCCACTTGAAACTTCACAATTGGCTCAGAACCCAATGATAGTACAATACGTTTATTCTTTCTTTATTCCTTAGTAGGTCTAAGGATCTTGCCTAATAGGGACGTAAGGCAAATGGCTTTTACGCTTGCTGCACTCTTCAACGATTGCATAAGACGACATGGAGTGGATGAAACAATCATAAGGTGGATCCATTTCGTGTTATATAGAAGGTTGCGGACTGTGGCAGAGGAAGATGGATGGCCCTAGTACTATGGCAGAAGTTATGCCATCAGGGTGGTGTACTCTCTACTATTTTATATTGTTTGGTAGCGAACTCCCTTTCAAGGGAAATGCAAGACTTCCATCTCATTCTAGCTAACGCGGATTATCTGTGCGCACTAGCGACAATAATATCTCTCACGAATGTCTGTTTAAAGAGATCTGACTGAAAAGGTGTGCGTGAAGATACAGAGGATTCTGAAAAGGATTGGTAAATGGTGCATTTTGCAAAGGATTTATATCAGCCCCAAAAATGGAAAATCTGGCATTGTTTAAGCGGGAAAGAAAACTGGAAGGTCTTAACCTTATGGTCTTCCGTGGTAATCAAATATTTACGGGTAACTTTAGGAAGGAAGCCGACGCCGATCTGAAGGTAAATCGATCGCTGAAAAGTAGAACCTTTAGTAAGACTTCAGAGATCGGCCGATTATCGCACATTTTGCTTCAGCATGGTGGCGTGGAACCCTCGTCAAAAGATACCCAAAAGAATTTTTATATTAAAAGGGCTACACAGGAGTACATGTATAATGCCTTGCTGGATTCGCTACACCTGGCGGTGCAATAGGAAGAGATAAAGATTTTCTTATTACAGCATTACATTCGGAGTTTCGAACGCAGAGAGTTGTTTGGAAAGTTGTCAGAGCGAACCCCTTTTAATGGCTTCCAAATGACCAAATGGTGTCTGTAGTATATTTAAGAAGAAAGTACGTCAGAAGGTGTCTACAAAGAAAAATTTTCTATAGCGACGGCTCCATGAATGAAAATGGTATTGGAGCTGGATGGCATCAGGACAGTAACTTAAGATGCTTTACTATTTTAGGTGAAATGGCAACGGCATTCATATCGGAAGTCTTAGCAATGCTGAAAGTAGCTGAGATAATTGTCGAAAGGTGGTGTGGAAATCAAATCAGAGTCTGCAGTGACAGCTAAACCACTTTAAAAGCCTTGAAAACCACTCGCACCTCTTAAAAATAGTCTAGGAATGTAAATTGAGGACGACCTCCGCTGCACGCTGGAAGGAGCATGAACTTACCTGGGTGGCAGGACACTGTGGTGTCCAAACCAAGTAACTGGTAGTTGAATTGGCGAACTTCGCTCCTTTTGGGACGTCAAAATCGAACTGGAGCCAAATTTATGGCTAAGAGTCTTATGACAAAGGAAACTGCTGTTATACAGACAACTGAGAGATTATTAATTCTTTCTTGAAACGGTCAGACATATGATGGCGAAATCCCTTTTTAGAAAGAAACGGAGTGAGCTACGAACCCTAATAGTTCTGACTACGGGACACGTAATCATCGGCGATGCACTGTTTGCATCTTGATTTGACGATAAGGACAGTTCAGAGTACTTTATTTATAGCTGTTTGTCCTCCGGCTGCCTGAGATGGCGAATGTTTGGCTCGAGTATTTTTGACTCGAAGTATTTTGGGTCGATGTATTTCTCTCGCCAAAAAAGTATCGTAAGCAGGGGAATACTGATTTCCCACATCCACTGGTGTTCTCATATCTTTTTAATCGTTTTATTTACTTTAAATCCATGCGAACATTTCCTGTGTGCGGGAAAAATTGCGAAGAGAAGAAGAATTGAGAACCACACCCTTTTTATTTAGGATAGATCCGTGGAATCTGCCTTGCACACAATTTCCAAGGCCACTCTTAGGAACAAAGATTTTGAAATTGGTGCCTTCCTTGATATCGAGGGGTCTTTCAACAATATGCTACCCGGCGCGATAGTAGTAGACCCCTGACAAAGCTCCGAGTCGAAAACTACCTAGTTAGGCTCATCTCCTGTATGCTGCACGACAGAACAGTCACAGCGGAGTGGGGAATTGTCTCTGACCAACGAAAAGTGAGTATAGGCATCCCGCAGAGAGGCGTCCTTTCCCCCTTTCCTAAGTGAAAAACGACATCTTGGAGGAGTTAGAAAAGTGTGGATGCGAGGCTATTGCCTACGCGTTTGATGTGGGACCATTCTCGATTGGTTTAAGTCTTACTTATCAAATAGAATTCAAAGAGTAAAAATTCACAATAATCTGAGCACAACCAGATGCATAACCCTAGGTGTTCCCCAGGGATCGGTTCTTGGACCAATTTTGTTTTTGATATATATCTGTCGGATCCGATAATAAGTTTAGAGTATTGGAAAATACTTTGATGA